ATATATATATATATATATATATAAAAATAAAAGATTGTTTTGTGTGAATTCTATCTTATGTACTTAAAAGAGGGATAAATTCACTCCAAATAAAGATAGATTTCTTGAATTTTTTTGTTTTGGTTGTATCATGAGTAGTAAGTGTCTGTCACTTCTTAGTCACACTCACCTACATGATCATATTGTTTGTTTTGTCCAAACAAGCAAGATAAACGAACAAGAGGAAAAGCCAAAATTGAAAAAAAAAATTGTAATAATAATAATAATAAAGAAAAGTATCCATTGTCTAATGGATAGAACAGAGGTCTTCTAAACCTTTGGTCTAGGTTCAAATCCTATTGGACACAATTTAGAATTTGAAAAGTAATCTAATTTTATTTTTGTTTCAAAATTTTTTTTATAATTTTTGAATTGTTCCTAAACTAAAAACTAAAGTAGAAAATGTTCGAGTTGTTCCTGAATAGCTTCCTTGAAAAAGGACTTCCACTTTCTCAGTGAATGTCTTGGCAGAAGATATGATTTCTTGGAATTGAGGTTTAAGGAAGTACGCAAGTCGGTGAGAAATTACTTGTCCAATTTATAATGAATCAAGATAACCATTCATTCTAATCTAATTTAAATTTAAAATGTTTTATTTTTTTTTTAATAGATGTTAAGTTTTTTTTAAGAAGAATTGACATTATGAATTTTGACATTTATTTCGAGAAGCCAACGGTTCACAGGTGTCATGACTTAAGGACTCTACCACTTGAGCATTAATTGACATTATTTTGATGAGCCTGCTATGGAGGTAACACAGAGTGCAACATATGACTTTTTTAATGTTTGTAAATGCTGAACTTCTAAATTAATCAGTGCATAAATGCATTGCCCTAGGAAAAAAGAAAAAAAAAACTCTGAATTTGTATTGATTTATTATTTTTTTTTTCTATCAACAATAAAAATTAATACCAAAGAGTTGTTGGTTCGAGTGGAAGGAGTTAGGTTCTTCTTAAATAAAATCTAAAGTTCGAATCATGTGAATGAAAAAACAGGTGCTGAGAGAGCTTCCTTCTTAATAGAATCCAACGTAGTTCGATTCCAGATTAATCGGGATCCAATGTGATTATTAAATATCGAAAAGTTAATAAAAAAAAAACCAATAAAAATTGATTAATTGATACCATAGAGAGCATGGGTGCCATCCTGCAATCATTAATGCATTAAATCCCATTAAAACTCAAGGCCTTCCGAAGGATGTTCCCCTTAAGTAAAATCTCAAGTTCGAGTCATATGAATGAAAAAACAGGCGCTGAAAGAGTTTCCTCCTTAATAGAATCCGACGTAGTTCGATTCTAAATTAATCGGGATTCAATGTGATTATTAAATATCGAGAAGTTAATATAAAAAAAAAAAAACCAATAAAGATTGATTAATTGATACCATAAAGAGCACAGGTGCCATCCTGCAATCATTAATGCATTAAATCCCATTAAAACTCAAGGCCTTCCGAAGGATGACTCAATTGTTTAAGGAATTGAGATCTTTCAATTTAAAAGTTTTATATTTAAATTTTAATTAAAATCAAATAAAAAAAGATTTGAGAAAATGGAATGACCATTCTCTCTTTACATAAGTAATTGGATTTATCAAATTTGCACCCTCAAATTAAGAGTACATAAATTGCACATATTTACATTTAGTCTCTATAAAAAATTATAAAAGTTGACATTATTTTTATTATCAATATCATATGTATACTTTTAATTAAATGATTAATAAAATTAAAATTATTTTTTAATTTTTCAGTAAAAATTAAATTAATTAAACAAGCTACAGTAAATGCATGCATATATTAGAAAATTCCTAACTACCAATTACTTGGCAGATTAAAAAAAATGATATAAATGAATAAATTTGTTAAAAATAAAAGAAAAGGAGATCGAAGGCCTAAAAAAGAGGGATCGGATGTCTTGGGCTTTGTGGGAATTTAATTTCGGTTGGGAAATCTTGGGGCTTACTTTCGGAGGCCCATAGAAAAGTTTGTCCAACTTCCCTAAGAATGAGTGAATCTCGTAGTGGGCCAGACTCTGATGATTGGAAAACAAGCGGACTACATCTCCCCCATGGGCCATGTCCAAGCATGAAAAACCCAATCATGTTATCTAACAAAAACAAAGCAGCCCATGTTCATTGCAACCACACCTTCCGTTAGTTATTTATCCATATATAATTTTACAATAAGTTTTACATATGAACTAGACCTTCT